AAAAAAAAAGAAGGGGTGCCCTTACTGTTAGGGGTTGGAAGCAGACAACTGAAATGTCAGTTTTTTCTTTCATTGCATGAAACTAAATGCCGAATTTCCCCAGTTTTTGTACATACACACCTAGAACTTAGAAGGGACATCCTGTAACAAAAAGCGTACCTAATGACAAAGGAATGTCATTTAATATGAAACGACAGTTACTACATCCCTTGAAGTTCTCGGTGTGTAGCAGTATGGATTGAAAGATTACCAAAAAAAACACAAATTTTGCACATTTAATTTGAAAATGTGCAATTTTAAAAAAAGAGTCATTTTTATCTAGGAATTGCCAGTTACAGTCTTCTGGGAGCCCATGATTCCATGGCTATTGCAGATAAAGCCCACCACTTTTCTCTCAAGGTATGTCTAACTGCTCCGAACTTCAAGATGGTGTGTGCATGTCCATCATCCGTAAGTCAAATGCATCCTGGCCAGACTTGTGTGGGGTTCAACCTCTTGATGAGCAAAGGAAACAGTCTGCCACAGTCGTGGACTTACTTTAGTGCATAGAACCCCACACACAAAACACTGTCAGAATAAAAAGAGACTGCTCGCAGATCAAACTTCCTCGTTATTTTATTTCACTTTCCAGTAAGCTGTGTTCTCCCCTCTTCTGCGGAGGATCTGAATCACTGCACTGCAGTCAAGTCGAGAGACTGTATTTACCGCCATTTGTCCTGTACCAAATTGACTAATACAGTAATACTAGAAAGTTAGTGGCACTTTATGCAAAGGTTTCCCCCAACAAAAAGAGAAGCTGCATCTGCAGAAAAAAAGATACTGGAAAACGTAGTGCACCTAAATAGCTAAACCGTGAATAGCAGTATTAATACGGAAGTGCTTCGGAGCCTCCCAAACCCAGGAGGTTCCCCACATAGATCTTCCCGAAAAACTTCCTGTAACCCATTGGCAAGTGAAGAGGGTGAACAAAGGGCCTACTTTAGCACGAAATCTTGGAAAATAAGTGAAAAAATGTGGTACTAGGGATGGCTTCTCTCGGTTCTCTTCAAATCACAAACGGTAGATAAACAACGATTTCGTCAAAACGGACATTTTATATTTTTTGAACGAAATTGAAACGCAGTTATTTGACCCTGGAAATGTCACCGTTTGAGCTCCTTAGGGTCCCCCTTGGGTGTACCCGAACTTCAGTTGAGTCCAAATGGACTCTCATGAGATAAACGGTGATTTTGTTTGGGCCAAATAAGAAGGTTTCAATTTCGTTATAAAAAAAAAGGGTTAATTTTAAAAATATTGCTGTTTCGAAGTTTGACAGCAAAAATGTCGTCCCTTCGAAGTTTCCTTTGCAAAAATAGAGGTTTCGTTGCAGCTTTATCGGGTTCCGGTAGTTTGCCAGCAAAAATACCGCGTTTTGCCAAGTTTCACAGCGAAGGACCCCTAGGCCCTGGCCGCAGGGACTCAGGGACTCAGCGTTCTGGCCTCAGGCACTCAGCCTTCTTTTTTTCTTTTTTTTTTTCCCCCGCAGGCGTGGCCGAGGCATCTCGGCCGTGGCCACGTTTTTTTTTTTTTTCTTTTCTCTTTCGCGGCCGTGGGCACGCCC